TCACTCTTACATCTGTGAAATAAAAAGGGACAGTTAAGACTTTATTTTAACTCCCTGTTGAAAACAATGACGTTTACAGATCAAATTGCCCCGGACTTTATTTAGTGGAGGAACTCTTGCCTTCTCCTCCTCCCCCGAGCCGACAGGAGGAGAAGCTGCCAGGCTGGCTCTGTGTGTGCTTGTGTCAGTCAGTCAGCCAGCGGTTCGTTAACTAATTAGTGAGCTCGTTTATCTCATTAGGCTCTGATTGATCTGCCAGCTGACGGACTGGCAACCGAGCGCCCCTGTGTGTGTCTGTTGTACGTCAGATGGAGCGGGCTAATCGATATTAACAACACAGGGAAGAGTTTAACTGTTACGCAACCTCATTATCTGGCAGTGACTGTGCACCAGGGGAGGGGAGGTGGGGGAGGAGGTGGGGGGAAGGATTCCAGCGTTACACCAATGTCACCAGAAGGGCAGCCTTCCTGTTAGCGGCAGGAAATTAGCTCAGATAGCACGGCTAGCTGGCTGGCACATTATATCTGATGGTGCACGACTTGATTCACAACTGTGTGTCCACCTGCCAGACACACACACACACACACACACACACACACACACACACACACACACACACACACACACACACACACACACACACTTGCCTCTCAGGGCTTCCATACACTAAGGTTTATCACCAGCTCATTATCAACTGAAAGTTGTGGGAAAAATTGAATATTTACATCTTTTTTAATGTAAATCAAGTCGAACTTTTTAGACATAACAGTCAAAATTTATTAAGCTAATAACTTAACAGCTCAAATCAGTATCGCATTAAACATCATTTTAATGTGATATTTTTTATTTTATTAAATAAAAAGTTGAAAAGTATAAAAATATTTATAAAAATTATTTTCTGGAAATGTTTTTTTTTTTTTTTTTAAATAAAATATATTTATTTCTATTTAATAAAAATAAATAATACTGGTCCAAAAGTGATGTTGCTTACTGGTCAGTCCAGATATGATTGTGTTAATCAGAGTTGAAACAGTTAATTAATCAATGGGCTAATTAAATTAAAAAAAAAAAAACTAAAACAGTGAGAATTGATCGATCATTTAAATCATTTATTGATCAAAAATACCAAACTTTCTGCCTCTTTGTTTAATGAGCTGATACTGAGAGTCGTTGCTGTTGTATTACAGAACATCTGTTCTTACTTTAAATTCATTTTAACTCCCATTTTAACTCCCCATTTTACTGTCGGTGGTGTGTGTGTGTGTGTGTGTGTGTGTGATTTGCCCTTCATCCCTTCACACGTTCATGTGATTTTAGAAACATCCACTGTGAACATCTTTTTTCAATTGCAGTGCATATAAAACTGTGATTTTCCATCGTGTCTGCACACTCATCTAAAATCTGATTCTGTCTTCATCGAGTGTTTCGTTCTTAATTTTTCAGCTGCTGCTGTTTGTCAGACTCCGACCTCACTATGACTGAACTTCCTGCGAGAAATTGACTGAAGGAAAAAACAACCAATAAAGGAGAGCTAGTCAGCTGACGAATCACCTGCCCCGCTTCCCGACAAAAACAAAACAAAACAGGTTGTTTACCACACAGATGTGGATTCTGGACCCGGAAGACTTGAAGCATGTCGGGAAAAGCTTAATTAAGCGGCGTGGATGTTTTTAAACCCAATCTTTATCTCTCTGAGTGGGGAAGTCCCAGTAAAACCACAGCCCTGCATGCACCTTCTGGGTGGCAGCAGCTCTTACTGGTGCGGGCTTGGGATTGGAACCGGGAACCTTGAGACTGATCATCCTTCCAACGCTGCAGTTTCCAGAACAGAAGTAGAACCAGTCCCAAACTATATGACATCAGGGATGGGGCGTACACACACGTAGTTATATGATACATCTTCTTTTAAGATGGTGACCGGTGGAAATGTGTTCTGAGGAGGTGAAATGCAATTATGGGAAATGTATCTCATTTGTTTTTTCTCTGCGGTTTTTTGCGGTAAAAAAGTTTTTAAAGTCGCGGCTTGGCAACAGTTGACGACCTCAGGAAGGAAGCGATATTGAAGCAGATTAACAGCAGCTACCTGGACGACACGGACTTCAACCTAGCAAACCTGCTAACCAGCTAGTCAAGGCTCAGACCAGTCAGAGGAGGAGGAGAGGAGTTATCACTGTTAGCAAGAGGAAAAAGATTCACCTGATGCGACGACTTTTATTTCTCAGCCTCTGAAGCAGAAAGAGACAACGAAATAAAAAAACATGAGACCTGAAACCTTCTGCTTTTAATGTACAATCACTGCATTTAAAATAATGTTTAATCAAATATCTTTTTAAGAGATCAATAAATGTTTAAAAAAAAAAGTTGAACTGAACTAAGAATGTTGAAATGTGCTTGTTTTTCCAGACATACACATATATATTTAATTTCCAAGTGCAAAGCCAGAGATTTAGTTTAAAGGCTCTCCCACACTGGTTTTTTGTTTCACGTCCTCTACCCTATTCAGAGGCTGAGAAATATAAGGTTTGTATGTAAGGTCCAAGTTTTTCAGCACGGATCC